GAGTGAGGGCCCCACAAAGGCCTCAGGCTCTCCATGGAGCACCCGTCCTTATTTGAAGAACACCTGGGCATGGGGCCGTGAGGACAAGACTGGTGTGGAAAAGGACACAGAACAGGGTTGTTCTTCAGGTACCCCTTTGGGCTCCATGAAACATGGCCCAAAGTGCCCTGCTGTCACCTGCAAGTGCCACTGTTCCCTTGGGCCTGGTGGGACATGGCCTCCCTAAAACTTTATTTTAGGTTTCAGGAGACTTCCACCTCCCCATTGGTCCTCACTTGGCTATCCCCACTCTGATCACCTTCTCCATCCACCTCTGCAGATGTTTTCCAAACCAACTCCCGTTTTGCATATGGGAAAACTGAACACCCGGAAGCTTACCTGAGGCCACACCTGGATCATTCCAGACTCTGTCCTAGGTTCCAGACTCATTACCCGGATCATTCCAGACTCTGCCCTAGATTCCAGACTCATTCATTACCCAGATCATTCCAGACTCTGCCCTAGATTCCAGACTCATTACCCGGATCATTCCAGACTCTGCCCTAGGTTCCAGGCTCATTACTTGGATCATTCCAGACTCTGCCCTAGATTCCAGACTCATTACCCGGACCATTCCAGACTCTGCCCTAGGTTCCAAACTCCACCCCCAGGTCCAGGCCCTGTCTGCCCAGCTGGCCCCAGTGGTTGCTGGCTTTTGCCATCTGCTAGGCCTTAGACTTCAAATTCCCCCTTAAAACAAGAGCAAAATCAAACCCCAAAAGCATCCATGTTAGTTTGAATGAGAATGCTCTGGGCTCACATGTTTGTATATTTGGTTCCCAGTTGGTGGAACCACTTGGGAAGGATTAAGAGGTGTGGCCTTGGAGAAGATCATTGGGGATGACTTTCGAGGTTTCAAAAGTCTACACCATTCCTGATTAGTGAGCATGCTCTCCCTCCCTCCCTCCCTCCCTCCCTCCCTCCCTCCCTCCCTCCCTCTGCCTCATAGTTACTGTCTCAATGTGTAAGCTCTCAGCCACTGCTCAGTGCCACACCAGAGCCTGTTGCCATGTTCCCCACCACAATGAATCTGAACTCCAACCCTTTGGAACTGTGAACCCAAATGAAATGCTTTCTTTGATAACTTGCCTTGGTCATGGTGTCTTTGTAGCAATAGAAAAGTTGTTAAGACATAAGGTGATACCAGGGAATGAAGCATTACCCGACAATGTGGGTTTCTGGAGGATTGTGGACACATTTGGGACTTTGGACTAGGAAAGTGGTTGAAAGCTGTAAGCTGAGCTCAATGGACCTCAGAAGAAACATGGACGATGATAGTGCTGAGGGCAATGTGGACCCACCACATCTATCCATCCACGTCAGAGGAAAGCAATATTACAACTGGGGGAGAGAACATTCTTGTGATATTTTGACAAAGAGTATGTGACTGTTCTCTCTCTCTCTCTCTCTCTCTCTCTCTCTCTCTCTCTCTCTCTTTCATTCTAAGACTCTGAGGCTAAATTGAAGAGTTCTGGCATAATTTTGTCGGCAGCGGAGCTTTCAAGACATCCTAGTTTCGACTGTGTTATTTGGTTATTAGTGAGCACTCTTACAAAGAGCTACAATTAAAACAAGCAAGCAGGGTAAAAAGAAATATGGGGCTGGGCGGTGGTGGTGCATGCCTTTAATCCCAGCACTCGGGAGGCAGACTTAGATGGATCTCTGTGAGTTCGAGGCCAGCCTGGACTACAAGAACTAGTTCCAGGGCAGGCTCCAAAGCTACAGAGAAACCCTGTCTTGAAAAGTTTAAAAAAAAATATGAACTGTACAGTTTGATGGGGAAAACAACAGCAGAGATTGTAATATTAGAGACAAGTCCTTAAGAAGTTTAAAGATCGGCCTGATGCTAAATTGACTAAAGGGAGAGGTGACCTCAGGGCAGGAGGTCACCCCACCCAGCTAAACTTCCAACAAGTAAACCGGCAATTCCTAAGGAATTTTAGGCTCCTAAGGAAAACAAAAAAGCAAAGAAAAACTTATTCAACAAAGGAAAGTATCAACAAATCAAAGCTTATGAAATGTAATTCAAGAAGGGGCCCAGGCTCCATCCGAAGCAGGCAGCAGAACTTGGCAGCACTGGACACGTGGTTCTGATTTTAGAGGCATGAAGGATACAGGAGCGAAGGCATTTGTGTAAAGGGTACGTGTCAGGGCTGTCCCTGCATGGAGGCTCAGAGAGGCCATTCCGCGAAGCTAGGAAGGTGAAGCTGGATTACCTTGGAGACCCCAAGATGTTGGAGATTTCAGAGCCATGGGATACCTGCTGAGGAAAACTGCTAACCAGGAGTGGAACAAGCATAGGAGAAAGAAGTGTGTGCAGTCAGCAAAGGTCGAAGGGAGGAGCCATCATCTAAGCTCTTTGACGCTGGACACTGAGCTACAGGACTTGGAGTTTGGGTTTCAGTCTTGCTTTGGTCCAGTATTTCCTCAGACTGCTCTGTTCCCTGCATTTTGGAACGGGCATATTTTGTGCCATTTATACAATTTATACATTGGAAGTATGTGATCTGCTTTTTGAATTTACAGGAGATTACAGTTAAGAGATTGTCTTGTGTCTCAGAAGAGACTTTAGTGGTTTTTTTTTTTTTTTTTTTGTGAGACAGGGTTTCTCTGTGTAGCTGTGGCTGATGTCCTGGAACTAGCTCTGTAGATCAAGCTGGCCTCAAACTCATAGAGATCCACCTGCCTCTACCTCCAAGTGCTGGGTTTTTAAACAGTATTAAGACTGAACGACTATGGGGACTTTTGAGGTTGGAATGGATGTGTTTGGACCGGGGAGTGGGTGTGCTGTCTGAATGAGAAGGACCAGTCCGTTGCCTCCCTGGGTCCAGTCACTTTCTGTAAGGGAAGGGTTTGAACCGAGGCCAAGCAGAGGGGAGAAGAGAGATGCTGTCAGACAGGTTGGTCCTCTAGGAAACTGTGTGACCTTGGGGAAATAACTTGACCACTCTGGTGCTGTGAAATAGAAAGGTTAGAGCAGCTGGCTATTGTGAATGGCGGGCGGCATTCTGAGCGGTCAGGCTGTGCTGTGGTTTGTAGTGTCCCTGTTGTGGAGAAGCACTGGGAAACTCTTCCCAGGGTTAGAGGGAGGAAGGGTGGGGCTTTCAAGGGATAATTCTGTCTGAAGTGTTCCATGTTCGGGGCGACTAATGCCATCATTGCTGACAGGCAGAGCTCAGCCCCCTCCTCCTAGCCCTTCTGTGGCTTCACCTCTGGTTCCCACCACGAGCAGCAGGAAGCCCACCAGACACCACGATTCCGGACCACTTCCTGCCTCTGGAACCCAGGGCCACATACACTTCTGATTATGAGTATAGACAAAGACAGGCGGTGACAGACGTAACTGTCACAGGTAATGACAGACGTCCACTGTCACAGGTGATGACAGACATGTCCATGGTCACAGGCGATGACAGACGTGTCCACCGTCCACTGTCACAGGCGATGACAGACATGTCCACCGCCCACTGTCACAGGTAATGACATATGTCCACTGTCACAGGTGATGACAGACATGTTCACTGTCCACTGTCACAGGTGATGACAGACATGTCCACCGTCCACTGTCACAGGTGATGACAGACATGTCCATGGTCACAGGCAATGACAGACATGTCCACCATCCATGGTCACAGGCGATGACAGACGTGTCCACAGTCACAGGCAGTGACAGACATGTCCACCATCCACGGTCACAGGCGATGACAGATGTGTCCATGGTCACAGGCGATGGCAGACATGTCTTATTGTCCAAAACTGTGAGGCTGGGCTCCCTACCCCCGCCTTTGTCTTCCCATCCCCTCTCTTCTCTCCTCCCTCCCTCCATTCTCTTTCCCCGCATCTCTCTCTTCCTCAGTCTCCCCTCAGTCCCCTCCCTCCATTCTTCTCCCCTTCCTTCCTATCTTATTCCCTTCTCTTCATCTTTCTCCTCCCCTCCTTCTCTTTCTCTATTTCCTTTCCTTGTTTTCCTCCCCTTTCCTTTCTGTCCCCTCTCCCCTCATCTCTAAGCAGTTTTAGGCAGCATGAGTTCAGACCCCGAGGAACTTCAGCTCCGTCCCAGTTGTCAGCCCCAACCTGGCTGCCTGGGCACAACTTCCTGTCTATGGTCTTAGCATCCTCGTCGGCAATGGGTGAGCTGTTCTAGCCACATTCTTAATGGAAGCACTCACTGTGGGTCATACACACACCAAGGACTGCTATGTCATCTGGAGACCAAGGACTGGGATCAGCCTGGTTGGACTGCAGCTCTGCCCTCCGCTGGCTGGGTGGTGTCAAGTAAAAGACTCACCAAGAAACAAGTATAATAAACAAGAATAATAAAAATAACTGTCTGCCAGCACTGCTGTGAGGAGGATCAAGTACTGAGTGTCTAGCACTGTGAAGGTCAGCACTGAGTGCCCAGTACCCTGCCTGGTTCTTGGCTGCTTCAATAATGCTGCTGCTGGTGGTGATGATGTAACCAACAAACTAGGCAATATTAGGTGCTTGGGACAGACTCGGGATGAAAGTTGCTCAGGGAGTTCCCAGTCTGAACATGAGACACCTAGCGGGTGGCCCAGCATGGTCAGTGCCTGCTGTGATGTGGAAACCCAGAGCAGCCTCAAAGAAGGACCTGGAAGTCATCTGTCCACAACAGGGACAGGAATAGCACTCGAACTAGGTACAGCAGATGCGAGGGCCTGGAGTTTGAGACAGATCTTAGAGGGGGGCAGGTCTTCAGGACTTACCCCCAACCCCAGCAGCCTGGTTTCAAGGCTCCATTTGCGGCCCCCAGCCAAGGGGCGGGTCATCCCTAGTGGACTGCTACCACCCAGGAGCGCAGCTTGGCTGGCAGGCTCGGTCTCCTCTAGCGCCCCCACGCCACACAGCTGGCGCCCCCGCCCTCCGCTCGCCGTTTCCTGCTCCTCCCTCCTCTCCCGGCTCCAGCTGTTTGTCTAGCTGAGTTCTGTCCTTGTCCCGCACAGAACTCTGGACAGAGTGCGACTCTTAGGATGTGCCTGGGGACTGTGCTCCGCGGGGCTCAGAGGAAATTTTGCGTGAATAGGAGAAACGGTTCCAAGCAAACAGCCCTTACCAGCACAACTGTGTGACCAGGAGAAGGAAGCTTGAAGCCACAGGAACCACAGGGGAGACTGGGGAGAAGGTACCATGGCGCTTGGCGTTCAGACCTGCAGAGGGCGGGAAGGGTCGCACCGGCAGGGACCAGAGCGCTTCTAAAGAGGTGCGTGTCAAGGTTCCCAGGGTTGAGTCAGATCTGAAGAGCGATGCTGGTGCTTGTGAAAACCAGCGTAGCGGTCGCGGGTCCATCCTGTTCCGAAACCCGCTGGAAGCCAACTTGTTCCTAACCAGAGGCAGTCACCTACAGGTTCTCCGTGTTCTCCAGGGGAAGAAAAGGTTTTCCTGGGACGCATGTAACTGCTGTTGGGTCTACTTCTCATTTTGTTTTTATTATTACTAGCAATACGAGTGAGCAGCTTCGCAATGGACGCTTTATGGGATAGTTGTGCTTTGTGTACTTGTCCTGTGGATACAACTCCATAGGTGGAGATGCCACTCTGTCTCTCTGTCTCTTCCCCCCTCCCCCCATCCAGATGTGAATGCAGAGAGAGGAGAACGTGGGGGTCCTTGAGGCAATGTCTCTCACAGACTCAGAGGCTGGCCGGTTTAGGTAGACTGGCCACCAGGGAACTCCAGCCGTCAACTTGTCTCTGTCCTCTAATGCTGGGGTTACAGGCACGTGTGGTCATTCCCAGCTTTTTGTACAGGTGATGGGGATTTGAACTAAGGCCCTAATGCTTGCACAGCAAATGTTCTTACCCAAAGAGCCATCTCCCTATGCTACTTTAAAAATAATAGGTTTGCATGGTGGCACATACCTTTAATCCCAGCACTTGGGAGGCAGAGGCAGGCGGATCTCTGTGAGTTAAAGGCCAGCCTGCTCTACAGAGCTTCCAGGATAGCTAGAGAAACCTAGTGATACCTGTCTCAAAAAAAAATTATTTTTATTGATGTCTACATGTGGCAGTCTCTATGTGGGTTTGTGTGTATAGGTGCAGGTGCCTGAGGAGACCAGGGGGGCATCAGCTTCCCATGGAACTGGAGTTACAGACAGTTGTAAGCTACCATGTGGGTGGCTGGGAATTGAACCTGGGTCCTCTGGAAGAACAGCTAGTACTCTCAACTGCTGAGCCATCTCTCCGGCCCCTCACTACCCGTTTTGAGATATGTGACTGTTTGACTGTGACAGTTTCTGCCTGCTGGCACTCCCTATGGTGTGATATGGGGTTCAGTAGCCTTGGAGGCCCCCATGGCTATCTGCCTTCTACCTAAGGTGCCTCTACTTGTGCCTCTTTACTTATACTTATACTTATACTTATAGGGGGTCTCTCACTGGGATCCTGGGCTTGTTGGTTAGGCTAGGCTGGCTGGCCTGGGAGCCCTGTGGATCCTCCTGCTTCCGCCTCCCTAGTACTGGCCTTACATGTATGTACCACCACATCTGCTATTTATGTGAGTTCTGTGCTGGCAGAACAGGCCATCTCTCAAGCACTGAGCCGTCTCCCTGATTTTCTATAGTGGGTCTATAGAAAATAGACAGACTCACTTGTGTGAGCCTCCCTTCTCCCCACCATGTTCATATTTTCTTATTGATATCAAAAAGTTCTTTGCATATGGAAGACAGGAGCCGTTCGGCCAAGTTCTGCCTGAAAGCATCACACTGCCTCTGCTTCCATCCTGAGGCATTTACAGCAGCAAGGGAGCTCTGGTACAGAAATCACCGCCTACAGCCACCCAGGAGCGGCCTGGAGAGTTTGATGTCCCGTGTATGTCTGTGGCTCAGAGAGGGCAGGTTTCAGGTCTGAGGTCATACAGTGAGGAAGTGGTGGAGGAGTTCTTGTGTTTGCTCAGTGTCTTAAGAAAGCCCCAATTCCCCTTTGCTTCCCTCTTCTTCCCCTTTCCAAGAGGATCTGTGGTTCTTGCTTCTGTCAAGAGAAAGGCAAGATCGGCTCTGTGCCTTGCTGCTGTGGTGTGCCTGGCCGGGTCAGACTGTGGAAGGGGTTGACTCAGCATTCTCCTTCAAAAGGTTTGGCTTAAACCTGTGAGGTGCCAGTCTCCGAGAGCCAGGGGTGGTGACTCTGGACTCCTCCGACTCTTTGAGGAGTAGATGAACCCCACACGGGGCCTCTTTCTATAAAACTCAACCCTTTTGCTGGTGGAGAAGTCTCTACACCTCTCCCCCACTGGTCTCCCTCCCCCATCACAACTCCTCCCCCATTGTCAGTCATCTTGTCTGTCTCTTAGCAACCTGGGAGTCCCTAGACCACAGTTCAGTGTTATGTCTTCTGGGTCCTCCATCCTCTGCATAGGAGTTTATGCACAAGACAGAGTTCCCTGGGTCCAGGGAGAAGTTTCACCGTCTGCAGAGTGGGCTGGGACGATGGACTGTAGTCCTGTCTCTTAGATGTTTGATTATGAAGGACAGCTTGAGTTGGCTTTTCGGTGCTCCACCATGGCCACACGATGAGGGCTCTAGTAACACCCCCAATTTGCCTATTAGAAATCCGAGACCTCGGAAGGTCCAAGCATAGACCTCAGAAGGTCCAAGCAGCCACAGATTTCACAGGGCTCCACGCTACAGAGGTGGGTTTATGCCTCAGATTCCACTTCTGTAAAACGGTGTTCCGAACAGGAGCTACCCTGTAGGATTGTCACAAAGGTTAAATGACAGGACCCGACAATGCTCAGCAGATGATACAGATGATGATCCCCTAAGGCTCTGAATATTATTACTTCATATAGCTCTTGGCCTCTGGCTGTGTCATCCATCTGAGCCATACACAGAGGTCGGTATGGTGTGCGTGTGCACACACACACACATGCTCGTGTGTGTGTGGGGGGTCAGTGCAAATGCTGGATGTCCTCCTCTATCACTGTCCACTGTCCTGCTGTGAGACAGGGCCTGTAACTTAACTGGCAGCTCACTGTTTTGCTAGATGGGCTGGACATCAAATTGCCCCCAATACTGGAGTTACAGACACACACAGTCATGTCTGGATTAACGTGGGTTCCAGAGACTTGAACTCGGATTTTTAAGCTTGCAGAGCATGCCTTCTCACCCCCCGAGTCATCTCCTCAGCCCTCATGGATGTTTCTTAGAGCTCCAGCATCTGTGAGTCAGGCTCTCTGAGGGTGAGCCTAGGGCATCTGTGTCAAACGGGCGCCTCAGAGACTTCGACGCCCTTCGTACTTGAGCACGGCTCACAGGAACACTCGAATGTTTTCCTGTTTCGCCCTCTGCCCAGGTTTTTGATGCTTTGCTGTGCATTTGAGTTTCTTTTCCCTTTCTAAGCAAATCTCCACAGACCTCCGTGGAGCCACACGCTCTGTGTCAGCAGCTGAGGCCAGGAGGCTGTGTGGAGAAGTGAAACTGCCTCATGGGACACAGCGTGTCTGATCGGACCTGTTCCCCCTTATTGAAGTAAAGCAGATGGGAAGAAACCAACTGCAAACCAATAAAAACACGGTTTCTCCACAAACAGAAGGGCGGCCCACTAGAGAGGCCCCACGGCTCTGCAGGGTAGGCTGCAAACTCCATGGGTATCAAGAGATGCACGTCCCAGAAGTTTGCTGGACCTGTGTGATCACAGGAGAGGCATTCCTATTGTCTGGCCGTCACTGAATTCCCGGCAGGAGGAGACTGTGCTGTATAAGTTTGTGTGAGCTTCAGGGACAAATAGACCCAAGCACACTTACTGCCCCAAACACGGAAGAGACAGCACAAGGCAGCCAGCTCTTTTTATCTTCTGGTTCTCTCTCTGAGACCTTTTTTTTTCTTTACTATTTTCCCCGTGAGTCTTATCATGTTTCCCAGGCCATTTCTATACTTCTGGGCTCAAATAATTCCCCTGCCTCGGTTACCCAAGTGCCTGGGATGGCAGGTGCACAGCGCAATGACTGGCTTAAGGGACATGCTTCAGAGTGGAAGATCCCCTGCCCTAGGGAGTCAGGGACCCACCTGGCAGCTCCACGCTCCCATTGGTGACAGTCTGGTTGGCCCAGTGGTAGATGGGAAAGTGTGAAGGTGTCTGATGGCCTGGCTAGATTCTTCCTCCTGGGAACCTCTGTGAGGTAGTCTCCTGCCTCCCATTGAAGTGAGGTGCTGATCGGCTAGGTGACATTCCAGAGGCTCTTGATGGAGTTAACCTGTGTCCCACAGGACCCACAGGTTCTGGTGTCCCACAGGTGGCCCTTTCTATGCTACCTCCAGAGGGAGGCGCTGAGCCAGCCCTGGGGTGCAGGGAAAGGGCTGTTTGTGGCATCCTCTTTGTGCTGCTTCCGGATTCAGGGCCCTGTGCTGTTTCTGGGTTCGGTCAATAGTGGGACACCGGGCAATTTATTTATCTCGGAGTCTCAGCATTTTCGCAGCAAGGGTCACAAGTGAGATTGGAAAAGAGCTACGCTGCTGGATGGAATGGAGGCGCAGTTTGTATGATGCAGCTGTCTTAGAAAGAAATGCTTGCAACTGAAGTCAGCAGCTGGCAGTGGCCAGAGATCCTCGAGCAGGCTGCTGCAGGATTCAGCTCTCAGCCTCGCCCCTTGAACTAACCCTAACCCTAACCCTAACCCATCCCGATTGTGGGACCAGATACTCCGATAGGCACAGAGGGCTGAGTACATCGTGTGCCTCTCTGAGGAAGCCCGGACTTGGAAATGCACTTGGGCAGATCTGAGCAGCCTTTGGCTCCAGCCTGGGACCTCTGCCTGGGCTCTGGTGGGGGTGCCTGGGTGTCCTCTCCACATGCTTTGGAAATGCTGGAAGTACCCACAGCTGAGTCAGCAGGGCTCACTTCTGCTTTCTTGGGGGTACAGGTTCTGAGTTTTCAGCCCAGGCTGGTGATGGGGCGGTTCTTGTGCAAGGAGGTGGGTGGTCAGGGAAATCAATGCATAGAATGGCTGGGCACACCCAGCGTTCCCCTGGGGCTCAAGGATGGCAGGGGCAGTGAGCGCATGAGGAGAGGCTGCTGAGGGATGGTGGTAGCGGACCCTGCATTGCAAGCCTGTGTTCCGGCTCAGCTCCTTGGCCTCAGTCTCTTCCTCTCAGAGTTGCTTAGGTTACCCTGCTCTTTAGTCTGTAGTCCACGCTCAGTGAGCGGCCCAGGGTCGTGGTTAAGGACAGATGCTCACCCCTGTTGCATGAACTTATCAGAACAGTCTCCAGAGTCCGAGTCCCTCCATGAGAGAGGGATGGGTGTGGGTGCCATCCTAGTTTCTTTCTTACTGTGACAAACACCCTGGCCAAAAGCAACTTAGGAGAAGAAAGGATTTATTCAACTCACAGTTCCAAGTTATAGTCCATCACTGAGGGGAAGTCAAGGCAGGAACTCACGCAAGCTGGTCACATCCCAGCCATTGCCAGGAGTGAAGAGTAAAGCTGTCCTTGCTACTTACATATTCTCACAATGGGCTGGGTCAATTAACAATCAGGACAGTGACCCACAGACACAACCATAGGCCCAGGACAATGACCCATAGACACAACCACAGGCCCAGGACAGTGGCCCACAGACACAACCACAGGCTCAGGACAGTGGCCCACAGACACAACCACAGGCCCAGGACAGTGGCCCACAGACACAACCACAGGCCCAGGACAGTGGTCCATAGACAGGCTCACAGGTCAGCCTGGCAAAGATAATTCCTCATGAAGATTTTCTTCTCAGGCTCACCAGTTAAGTATGCATCCTGCTCTTTCTGAGGACCTCATATGATTCCCAGAACTCACAGTGGATGGCTTGAGCCATGTGTAATGTAAATCCAGCCCCTGTGTGATCCAGCACCTCTGGCCTTGGGAGGCGCTGTACATGCACTTGTAATTAAAAATCTAAAATGAATGAAAAAAAAAACCCAAAGTCTTTTCCCAGGCGATTCTAAGTTACATCAAGTTAACAATTAGTCTAATCAGCTTCGAGATCACACCTGGCTACCCTGTATGTGGAGCTTCTCTGTGTCTCAGCAACTGCTCCCAAATAACCACTCAGAGGCTTAATATTAGCTGTAAATGCTCAGGCTTATTACTAGCTCTAACTCTTACATTTTAAATTAACCCATATTTATTTATCTACCATCAGCCACATGGTAATACTGTCTTTCAATGTGACACATTCATCTTGCTACTCTCTGCATCTCTCGAAACTCCTGAGACCCCACGCTTCTCCCTCCCAGTGTCCTCAGTCTGGCTGTCCTGCCTATACCTCTTGCCTCACTACCAGTCAGTCAGCTCTTTGGTTAAACCAATCAGATGTTGCCTTGGCAAAGACACATCTTCACAGTGTACAAAAAGATGACTTCATAACACCACCCCAAAGTCATAGCTGTCAAGTGACTTTCTGCTATCTAAGAACAGGTGCGCCGATTCTGGGGACCAGGATGTGGGCACCTTTGAGGGACTGCCTATTATTACAGGCTAGCAGCCTGAGGGCAACCCAAATGATAAGAGTTCTGGGCCATTTCTCTGAGGAGCACAGCAGGGAGCAAAGAGCACCAATGTGGGTGGGGCTGAGGCAGGCATAAGGAGAGGGCAGGTCTGACCTCAGCTCTGGACTCTGGCACTGAGGTGGGTTTGGGTCCCTGCTTTAGCGGGTAGGAGCTGGTGACTGCAGTTGACTGTGCTCTTGTGGAAGAGGTGGTGGTAAGATGCAGTCAGGTTTGCTGGTAGGTTTGTCAGTGAGGTCACGTGCCAACTGAGGAGGTAACCAGTTGCCCAATCAGGCTTGTCCTCTGCCGGATCTCAGGTCTCAATTTCGGTCCCCTCAGTATAAGAGCATTGGCTGCCAGGCAGTGAGGCTCTCTCTTTGTCCCTGCCCATCCCCCACCAAAGGAATGGACCCCAGGGAGTCTCACATGTAATGCGGTTGCCCTAACTCTGAGCCAGACCTCAGCATCAGCCCTGGTTTCTCTTTTCTCTTTTCCCTCCCCTAGGGGATGAGAGAGGGTGGGTGAGAGGCCTAGAGAGTCTCACTAAGTTGCCCAGGCTGGCCCTTGAACTCACTTTCTAGGCCAGATAAGTCTGGAACTTGAGATGCCCCTGCCTTAGCCTCCTGAGTAGCTGGAATTACAGACACCACCTCAGTTGGCCACTATACTACCCAAATTCATCAACAACCCCATTTTTCAGGTAGGAAAAATGAGGCAGGGAGGTTGTGGGTGAGCCAAGAGGCAGCCTTCATTCTTGGGCATCTATGAGGCGCCTGCTTTGCTATACGCTCATAGCAGGGAATTTGGGAGGAGCCCATTCTCCCTAAGGCGCTCCTAGTCTCTCAGGAAGACAACTGAGAAGAGACAGAGCGGGAAGCTTGGAGCATACCACTCCTGGGGTGGGAACACCATCTGCCCATTCGTCAAGGCTTTTTTTGACCAAGAACAAATTGTTAGCTGCATCCACACTGGTGTTGGCTGGAGACACTTGGTGGCCAAAGGTTGTAGGAGCAAAGGGGAGATGGCTTTCACAGGAATGGCAGGAAACCAGTCCCCAGACAGGAAGCCCGTCTCTGAGCTGGGTTCAAAGCACAATCTGGCCTCAAGTTGCCCGAAGGGAAGCTGGCAGGAATAGGAGTGAGGGGGAGCGTGGATGGGGAGTGGAAGACCAATGGCTCTGGGGTGTGTAGTAAAGAGGGCAGGGAGCAGGGGGAGGCTGCAGGCTTTGCAGGGCCTTGAAGGCTCCACCCAGTTTTCTGGGTGGCCTGACATGCTCCATTTTACCACCCCCTTCAAACTCGGTGCTTACATTTGAAGTTGTGGAAATGGAAGATTCCAAACAACCAGAACTAACTGAGTTTAAAATTTGAAGTCTGGGGCTTTATGTGCTGGGTTGTTGGGCCATAAACCAGACCATCTGCTCTGGCTGGGACAGGGGAACTGTAGGATGTGTGTGTTGGGGGGATACAGGCACAGAGGTGGGAGGTGCTGAGATTGTGTTAGGGTTTTCCGGGTGTGAGCCCTGACCTGCCTGTCGTGTTTGGTGATTCCTTCCCAGCAGGGGCAATACTCTGCCACACACGCTGTGGCCAGTAGGCCTGGCTGGCATCACAGGGTTCTGTGGAAGGGAAGGAGACCAAACCACAGGAGGAATCGCTCTTGAGGGTATGTGGGCACTTTCAGTCTCCTTCATGACACGCGCAGACTCCCAGGATCTGGGTCATGGACAACAGGGTGTCAATCTTTCCAGTACTATCTTGAGGGACAGCTGCCTCGAGGCCTACCCAGTCCACTTTGGGACTTACCACCTCAGACTGTTCCTGCAATGTCTTTACCACACACTCACGGGAAATGGGAGGGAGCCCGTTCCACCGTGTGTGACAAGATGGATGGAATGCAGTGAGGCAGTGTCCTAGTGACACAGCCTCCATGTCCCGATCTGAGAAATGAGTTGTGACAATAGTTTGGGATGACTTATTGGGAAAAAAAATCCTTTAAAAATATTAATGAATGAGTTAATTTTTAGTTTATATAGCTCATTCAAAGAGGTTGGAACTGGGCAGTGGGAATTAGGTTATTTACATCAGTAGGGATGCAGGCTGCTGCCTCTGAGTGCTTGCTTTGATTACTCAGAAGTGCTTAGTCTTGGTGCTAGCTTGACATTGTTGTTTGCATCTTTGTTACTGGCTGATCCTTAGCCACATGGATTTGGTTAGACAGGATGTGGTAGGCAAACTGAACCCCCTTTCAAAAGGAGAGTTTTCTAGAAGCTGGGGTAGTACCCCTGAAAAACTCTAGTAAAACATCAGGTGGCTGACTCTCTAGATGCTTCTGCAACCACCAGTATGGCCATCTGGTCTACCCCTGGGGAGGGTAGCAACTGCTTGTTTCCTTGGGCTGTTGTGTGCAGAAACTAGGGACTCCTCTAGATCCCAGCGCCTAAAGGCTAGGGTTCTGTGTTGTTTTCCCAGAGCAATATGCAGAAGTGTGGAATGTGTGTGTCATCTGTCTTGGTGACCCCCACGGCCACCTATCGCCTTATGCTCTCCCTCTGCCTCCCTTCCTTCCCCCAGGCTCATGTCTGGTCTCAGAGGAAGGGGTCTGGGTGGTCCCTCCCCTCAGGAGCTGACTGTGGTGAGACCCAGCTACCACACTGTGGGAGGGCGTGTGCCTGCTGCCTAGTCCACACGCCCAGTAACCTCACCCTATGTCCACCACATCCTGGTGCTCTGTAGATACCAAAAGGGTGAGCAAGCAAGCGAGCCTGACAGCAGAAGGACCCTCAGGGAATAAGATCTGGGACATCCCTGAGGCCTTCTCTCTCCCTGAGGGAAGAATAAACCTTAACCACAATTCTTGTGAGGGCTTGTGGTGTTTTATTTTGAAAATATGTGACATTATTTTAAGAGTGTATGTGTGTGTGCAGGCATGCATTGGACAGCTTGAGGAGTTTGCATTCTTCAACACAAGTCTGTGTGTTTTCAACATAAATGCGGCTTTTAGACTGCACATGATGATCCAATCATGTCATCCCAGCACTCAGGAGCTGAGGCAGGAGGATGGGGAGTTTTAGGTCACCTGAGCTTGATGGTAAGAGCCCACCTCCAAATACAAACACGTAACCCCCATTTGCAAAATAAATGGAAAATAACTTGAGGCCTCCATAAGCCTTTGGGTCAGCTCTAGAGGGAGGTGGAGGCTGAGGTTGGGCTCCTGTCATGCAGCTGATGAGAAACTTGAAGAATTGTGTTCTGTGGTCTGAGGGAGTCCCCAGCAGGTAACAAACCTTCTTCCTCTTGCCGCCCTCCCCAAGGAAATAGGGACACAATAGAGAGGTTAAGTGAGACACACAGCGAGTGATTGGCCTGAGTCAGAGTTCGAAACCGCAGTGCTTAACCGCAATGCTCACAAAGGTGTTACTTTGGCAGGATCTGTTTGTATCTGTCACCTCAGGTCTGTGGCAGGGCAGATGAGATCAGTTTCCTGGACAACGAAGAATCCTTCCTTGAAGAGCTAGGAGCCTGATAAGGGACAGAAATAAGTAAAAGAAAGTTCTTAGAAGTTCTACCGAGGACCGTGGCTCAGACACCATCTTAGATGAGGTAAGGTTTGGAGGGCCTCGATGTGTTGAGGGTATGTCTCAGGGTCCTGGTCGGGAGGAGCTCATTTTTATTTAAAAGTGGGTCCCTTTTCCATTGTGATTTTTTTTCTGTAAAATGTAAAGCTGTCCCAGGAAATCAATAGGCTTGATTGGCGAGTTTGGGGGTATGTATCCCTCTCTCCTAAATTCATGCTCCAGGCTCTCCTCTCCCTACCTAGCTCAGTGTGTGAGAGGGTGTCTTAGGGTATTTCTGTGGCTGAATACTCCATGTTGAGGTTGGTGAATGGCAGGAGAGATTTTGGGTGCTCACCCTTAGCCAAGGCACAGAGCAGTGAGACCCAGAGCCCTGTTCCACGGTAGCAGTGACGGGCCTGGGAGATGGCTCGGTGGGTGAGAATGCTCCTTCTGCAAACATGAGAGTCTGAGTTCACATACCCAGCATCCATGTACGAAGCCGGGCGTGGTTACTGTGCCTGTGAGCCCAAGACTGGGGGACAGAGATGGGTGGGTCCTGAGTGTGCACTGGCCGGCCCTGACTATACAAACCAGTGACCCTCTGATTTGGTGAGAGACCCTCCTCACAAGGAAAAAGGTGGGAGGTGATAGAAGAAGAACCTGGGGGTCGTGATCAGGCCTCCTCCTGCAGGGGTGCACACCACACATGCAATAGCACAGATACTAATGGCTTTTCTGGGACTCTACCATGGGCTGTGCACTCTTGTTCTGAGGTCTGTTTTCCTCCTCTTACATCTCAATACCCACCCTGTGAAGCACGTGCTGTCACTGCTTCACTTGGGGACACTGACACAGAACCCAAGCTCTCCCAGGGGCTACACAGCATAACTGGCCTTTGGCCCGAAGGCTGGGCTTCCGAATCGTGGCTGCTATCGCTACGTGCTGAGTCCAGCTTTGGGGATCCATTCCTGGCTTCTTCCTCTTTTAGTTGTTGGGCAGCTTGCTTGACCCTCCTGAGCTTCAGTTTTCTCTCCTGAGGGGATCATCAGGGCTTTGGGGAGGCTGAGGATGAGTGAGAGGTGGGGGGAGTGTGAGGGACAGGCAGTGAGGGTCTCAGTGTTTCAAGGGGTTTCATTCCTGGCGCCAGACCCAAGAGGCCTTGGAAACCTGAACCAACAGAGAAGTCACTGCCAGGACTCTTGGCAGGACTGCTAGCGAGCAAAGAGGGGGACAAAGGTTCCTCTGTCAGCCACTTGGGGCCTGGAGGGGCCTGATGGAAGAACCATGAGTGTTCCAAAGAACAAGACTCCTGCCCAGAGGCGGGCTGGCATGGCCTGCCAGGCACTGCTCCTGGGCCAGGCTGGAAGATTCTTCTGGACTCTTCTTGAAGGGCTTAGGAAGTGGCTTTTCCTCCCTCCACCCAGGGTTATTGTTATTTTATTTTAGAACCAAATAAAGATGGAACACATCTTCACCTTAGCAGCTGCTAGGAGTCCTCATTATGCCAGGTCACCTCCAGATCACCATCCCTCAGGCTTACGATGACACTGGTCACCTGCCCTCCACAGAGGCTGCCTCTCTAGCCTCTGCACTACTCTCTGAACCCCTGCCATCCAGCTGTACCCATGAGGTTACCTAGGGCCCAGAGATGCGTCCGCCCAGTGCACTGCAGCTCTCCTGCTCCCTGCAATAGCCCATGATACGGTGGATAATGTGGAAACTGAGGGCCAGAAGTGGACTAGCTCTCCCGACCAGAGTGAGAGCGGGTATTTCTGTGACTGGTGCTGCAGGTGCGGCCCGGCTGTGTGAGGACCTCTTGACCCTGGAGGATGCAGTTCACTGGCAATGGAACAGCGTGGTTCTACCAAGGAGGGCCAGCCCTGTTTCCTCATTATAAAAGCTCCTCAAGGACTTACCTAGCAGGCACAAAGCCCAGAGTTCCATCTCAGCCACCACACATCAACAAAGATGAAAGAAAAGGAAGATAACTCAAAGGAAAACTTAAAACAACAAACTCTGGAAAGAGGGAGTGGAGGGCTAAGGATTCAATTGTAACATTGTAACACACATGACAAAACTGCCTAAACACTGTAACACTAAGAGACTCGACAGAGATCAAGTGCCCATCCTGCCCAACAGTAAGCAATTGGAAGGAAGCTGTCCCCAAGCCCATTACTGAAAAGCTGGTGAAGCTAACAGTGAGCTATTATGCAGCTGTCTAGAAGGAGGGGTATGATGATTGACCGTCTCCAAAATTGGATAAAGAAGGAAGGTGTATATATCTTTTCTTTTATACAAAGGGTGTGTGTGTGTGTGTGTGTGTGTGAGAGAGAGAGAGAGAGAGAGAGAGAGAGAGAGAGAGAGAGAGAGATCCCTTTGTAATTACTCAGAGGCTTCAGAATGGCACCTGGTAACCTGGTACAGGAGCTGAGTGCCCTGGGAACAGATAGATCGTAGTGTGGAAGGGGTGGGGCTTTTTGTTCTAACTCTTTAGAGTTCTACATGGTTTGAACATCTCTAATTGGGTAAAGCTATGTCACCAAGTCAGAAATTTAGTAATAAAAAGAGGTGAGACTTTAGTTCTGAGTGGAGACCCTCTCAATAGTCAATGTTTTGTTTTAAGTGTGCGTAGCAAACTCCTAGGCCCGTGGTCTCTGTGACCTTCCTGGACAAGCCTGGGAAATCGAATTACCTCCACTTGGTTCTAGTTCTTAGTGGTGTCACAGGGGAAGGGTCCTTGTGGGGTTTACGTCAGAATCACTCCTTTGCCTAGCTTCCCATCCTCCTGGTAGCTGCCATTGGTGTCTGGTTGTCTCCTGTGGGCCAAGCTGACATCTCGGCACAGATCTGCTGCCTCTTCCTACAGCAATCTTGAGACTCAAACCCTTGGTAAGTGCTTTCAGGAGAGCGATGTGTCCTCCTGGCCCTCCTCAATGCTCACTTCCAACGCATGGAGGCTTCTAGAGAAGTCAGTGACCCCAAGCTCAGTCCAGAAAGGCCTGATTTGTCTTAATCTTGTCTCTGCCAGAACTTCCCCACCCCCCCCTCCCGCCACTCTGTCACCAAACGACTTGCATTAAGTAACGCCTCTTCTGAAATCTTCTGAAAGAGACTGCAGGTCAGGGCAGAGCTCTGGCCTTGTGTGCAAAAGGCCCTGGGGTCCATCTCCAGCGTTGCGTAAGCCATGAATAGCAAACAAGCCACAGCTTTCCTGTGACATCACCCAAAGTCCCAGATAACTTTCTCCTGGGCCCAGCACAGGGGCTGCCCTTTTGCTGCTGGCTCAAACCTTCCAGGTCAAAGCCCAGGCCCCTTCTCCCTGGGTGTGGGTCTTGGTTCTCTTCTCTGATCTTGCAGCCTGCCCCTAGCCCCTCTCCTTCTGGTGTCTCTCTCTTTCTCTGCCTTCATCTTTCTTGTCTTGGTGTCTTGTCTCTTCCCCCTAAGTTTTCTCCCCCACCCCCTTTGTCTTTCTGTCCCTACCTCTGTGTCACCAGTCACCACCTTGGTCCACATTTCTTTTAGCTCCTTGGTGCTTCCCCCTGACTATGGTTACCAGCTCCACCAGGCCCCTGACCTGCAGGAGTCTGAAGAGAGAGGACTGGTCCTCTGCTTTCCTGAAGCCAAGGGCAGGCCAGCCTTGAGGACAGTGACCATTGCAGCCACTAGGCCCTGGTAGGGGTACACTTGAGATTCTGCCACTGTTTGTTCTGAGGGACGGTGACTTCTTAGGGATGAGGGGCTGTGTTTTCTTATTGCACTGGGCCTGTTCACTACTCAGACGGCTGTGTGGAGGTCATGACCTTCTTTGACTTGAGACAGAGGAGGTGCCACACTGAGAGGTTCATCTAACAACAGGGGGTCACTGAACTCCTCCCAATTAAACAGATGAAATAACCGTAGATCCAGAGAAGCCAAGCCACTTGCCCAAGGGCACAGAGCTTGTGGGCCTGGCGGAATAAAACTGATTCTGAAGGGAGGAGATTGAGCAGCACCTGTTACTTCAGTGGTCATAGGAGCCAGTGAGGTCACCTGCTTGCCTGTGAGCACAGAGGTGAGGAGGGGCTCTGTCTGTGCAGAGTCAGCTGGGGTCCTGGGTGTCTCCTCACCAGGTGCCCAGCGCGTGGCTGCCTTGGTGAGTAGATCTCCAAGCCTTAGTTTCTTGACCTGTCAGGGGTGGATCACAGTGCCGGCCTCCTGGGTTATTACTGGAAAGCAGTGACTCAGGATGAGAGCTTGGCTGGAAAATGAAGCTGGAGAGACCAAGGCTGAGCCTTGTGAAGGAGAATAATGTGGGTTTGCAGTGTGGGTGCAGGAGTAACAGGTGTAAGGGGGACTGTCCGTGGTGTAAGCAGGTACTCACAAGCAAGTTTAGTTTGTATGATAAACCATGTTAATAAACAAGAAGAGTAGGGACCACAGAATTGGCCCAGGCTGTCTCCTACCTGTACAGGCTGTCAATAGTATCCAACTTGTGGATGCTGACATTATCAGGACATCAGCACGGAGAAGCAGAGGGATTCTGTTCTGACATTCCTGGGAATATTCTTAGAAGCTGTTTTTTCAGTTTTAAGCCAGCCGCATATATTCCTGCTGGACTGAACAGTTAGCCTTCCCTGGTACATTCAGGGGAAATGACTTTGTTGAACGTCTGTATGGTCAGTCTCTCCTGCAATACCCCAGGCTAAGTGTGGTTAGGTCCCCAGGAGCCCTGTCCCATATCCTGGGCAAACGTATTCTGATCTTAGCACCAGGAATCCGCCTCACTGTGGTTTGGACTGTTCAGGGCCAGGACCACGTGACCTGGAAGCTGGCATCTCTTCCCTGGCCAGGAGCCTCAGAGGTGGAGGCCCCTGGGAGCAGTTCTGGCATTGCTGTCTGGTCTGTTTCCTTCTCAGGCCTGGCTCTCCTTCCACTCTTAGTTTATGTTCCTCACGCACAAACTTCGCCTTTGAACTCTCACCCTCTTCTGGTCTGAGCCGGTACCTAAGCAAACGCCAGCCTACCATCCTAACACCGCTGTGAACCCCTTCCTCCGGAGGACTCAGG